GGATGGTGTCTTCCCTTTGCAGGCCTGGAATGTGGAATAGAGGGAAAATATCTTCCCACTCTCAGGTCCAGGCCAGTATTAGCAGAGTGGAAGATGGGCCAGAACCCTCCTGCTAAAGTGTCTGGATCCTGTTTTCAGACAAGAGGACACTGCTTCTTGTGTGTGCCTTTCTATTGTATTTCTTGTGTGTGGAGGGTTTGGATTTGTCCAGAATCCCTCTTACCTCTGTTATTGTCTATGTATGTTGACAAGGTATTTTTACAAACAGGAAGACAGAAGGAAAAAGTTCATATTAATGTGCATCAGTTTGGGAGCTGAAAGGTGTATCTCATCTTATAGCTGACTTTTCTTTTCCCAGTTCTCACCTCTGTGGTCTGTGTGCTTCTCTAAGAGGGAAACCCTGAAGAGTATTGACAAGTACTGAAGCATTTTTAACCATGGCTTTGGTAAGTTGCTATTTCTCTCTAGTTCTTGAATGTACTTAAGGTATATTAGATTCTGTGAGCACTTCCTTATTTTGAAATGTCCTACGTAATAAATATCTAAGAAGCTCTCCCCAGTCCCTCCCATATCAGCAAAGTATGATGCCAAACAGCCCCAGATGGTCCTGACACATCCTTCTATTCTCCCTTGATATGTAACATCTCCTGTAAGTTCAGCCTTCTTTTAAGAAGAATTATGGAGTAAAATTGAATTCCTTGAGGAAGAGATATTTGACCATCCAACGAATAGCAGAGGGATGATTAAAAGAAGTTGGTCCTATTTGATTACTCATGGAAGAACTTGGAAATTCTTAGTATTTGTCTAGGAAAATAGAAGATTTAAGACATAGAATATACAGTAGGCAATTGACTGTCCTCAGTGTTGGTATGTGTTGAGATCCCATGTTTTGTAAGGCTTTGAGGATTAGTTAAGAGTAAAACTGGGATTTGCATACAGAGAGATCAGGGATCTACCTTGGGAATCAGTCATGGAAAGATGAATATCAGGAGAAAGATCTGTCATGTATTTGAAAAGACACACACACACATAATAGAGATCTATCTAAGAAGCTGTATACACAGGATGGACTATAGTGTAGCTATTAAAAATTTACTAAATAATTTGGCATAAGAAAGTGTCGTGCTTAGGACATATTTTTAAAAAATAGTCTTAAAAAAATAGTCTTATACACATGGCCAGTAGGTACATGAGAAGATGCTCAGTATTGCTAATTATCAGAGAAATGCATATCAAAACTACAATGAGGTCTTACCTCACACCAGTCAGAATGGATATTAAAAAGTCCCAAAAGAATAAATACTAGAGAGAGTGTGGAGAAAAGGGAACCCTCCTACACTGTTGGTGGGAATGTAATTTGGTGCAGCCACTATGGAAAACAGTATGGATGTTCCTTTAAAAACAAAAAAATAGACTTACCATATGATCCAGCAATCCCTCTCCTCGGCATATATCCAGAAAATTCTCTAATTGGAAAAGGTACATGCACCCCAATGTTCATAGCAGCACTATTTACAATAGTCAAGACATGGAAGCAACCTAAATGTCCATTGACATCATTGGATAAAGAAGAGGTGGTATATATATACAATGGACTACTACTCAGCCATAAAAAATAATAAAATAATGCCATTTGCAGCAACACAGATGGACCTGGAGAATGTCATTCTAAGTGAAGTAAGCCAGAAAGAGAAAGAAAAATACCCTATGATATCACTTATATGTGGAATCCGAAAAAAAAAGACAAATATTTACAAAACAGAAATAAACTCACAGACATAGAAAACCAACTTATGGTTACCTGCGGGGGGGGGAGGGATAAATTGGGAGTTCAAGATTTGCAGATAGTAACTGCAAATATATAAATATATATAAAATAGATAAACAACAAGTTATACTGTATAGCATAGGGAACTATATTCAATATCTTGTAGTAACTTATGGTTAAAAAGAATATGAAAACAAATATATGTATGTTCCTATATGACTGAAGCATTGTGCTGTACACCAGAAATTGACACATTGTAAACTGATTATATTTCAATAAAAATATATTAAGAGAAAATAGAAAAAGATGTGGTATATGCGTACAATGGAATACTACTCGGCCATAAAAAAGAATGAAATACTGCCATTTGCAGCAACATGGATGGACCTATAGATTATCATACTACATGAAGTAAGTCAGACAGAGAAAGACAGATAGCATATGATATCACTTATATGTGGAATATAAAAAAATGAGACAAATGAACTTATTTACAAAAGAGACAGACTCACAGACATAGAAAACAAACTTATGGTTACCAAAGGGAAAAGGAGGGGATAAAATAGGAGTTTTGAGATTAGCAGATGCAAACCTCTATATATAAAATGGATAAACGACAAGTTCCTATGGTATAGCACAGGGAACTATATTCAATACCTTGTAAACCTAAAATTAAAAAATATGGAAAAGAATATATATATATATGGCTGAATCACTGTGCTGTACACCAGAAACTAACACAACATTGTAAATCAACTCTACTTCAATTAAAAAATGGTCTTACAACATAGCCCAAACAAGTTAGAGAATAATTTATTGTGACATATGAAACCATTACAAAAATGACTAATAGAAAAAACTGGAGGTGACATAATGAACCTGAGGCTTGAAGAAATTTTTTAACTTTATGCAAACTCTGTTATCTCTATATTTATGTACAGATTTAATACTATATTAGAAAAGAAATTCCATGAATTGTATTTTCTTAGTCTGTAGAACAATAGGATGTAAAAATTCACATTTATTACTCATTTATGAGCTAGGTACATGGCATGCAGTATGCTTGTATTCACTATTTCACTTAATTGGAAAATTGTGATTCTTTTATTCCTATCTAGCCATGTTTACAGACATGGTTAGTAATTGAGGAATCACATAATAGGCATGAACTTTTATCTAAATCAACTAGATTCCTTAAAAATATGTATAGAGTCTGTTTCTGAGACACTGATTTCCTTGACTTCTCTTACCCTAGACTTCCAGGTGATGCCTATTTGCTTTTGTACAGCCTCTTCTTGGATTTCAACCTTTATTCTCTATTTGAAAGCGTTTCTTGAATTTTACCAGTAATGCTTGGGTTTGTGCTTTTAGGGATGGGTAACATTCAGGAAAGCAGCCCTAGACTTCTCTCAAGAGGAATGGGAATATCGGGTTCTGCTCTGAGGGAGTTGTACTGGGATGTGGTGATGGAGAACAGCAAGTTGGTCCCACGGGGTAAGCTGTCTACCTCAAATAATTTAAATATTCTCTCTGGAATATCAAGACTATCTTAAGAAAGTAAGT